GAGACTTTGCTTCCTTTGCTCCTGTTAACAAACGTTGGTTTTCACGAGACTCACCGGTGCATGCGCAGCACTGACCTCATACATCATCCACCCGGAGCTGCTTCCGAGTACAACTGTTGGCGCAAGCTACATTAAAGTGATTATTACGTTTTGAATATGGATATTTTTCTTACAAAAACGCATCGATTCGCTACAGGAGGCCTTTGTTCACCCCCCAGAGCCGTGTGAGACACTTTTTTTATGGATGGGCGCTTTTTATTTCACTTCTTTTGGACTGATGCACTGCAACACCCTCTGAGTGGCATTAAACTGCTTGAAAGATCAAAAACAGTTTTTAATATAACTCCGACTGGATTCATCTGAAAGAAGAAAGTCATATACACCTAGGATGACATGAGGTTGAGTAATTTGTGGGCTAATTTTCATTTTTGGGTGAACTAACCCTTTAATTACTGTAGTTATTCTGTTCTGAATGTCAAATTCCTTGTTTTCCCATCAAATGAATTCTAACTAGTTGGTTGAATAAAAATATTTGGACTTTATATTTAAAAATCACCTTAAGCTAGCATCAGGTAGGCCTAACTAGTTTGGTAGCAAGTTAGCATCAGCTAACAATTAGTTTTTTCAAATTATACTTTTTCATAATTTCATAATTATTAATTATATTATTTTTCATTTTAAGCTAAAACTGCCTGCACTCTGATTTTGCTGTAAATGCATAAAGCAAATTGCTTTGTCTGGGGGGCATTTTACTCCACCTGTGGGGCAAAACGCCCCCTTGGTACAAATAAATTTTTTATTACAAATCTAATAACATAAAAACTCTGGACATTTTTCATACTTGGTTCATATTATGTCAGTGTCACTAAAACTATTATAACTTTTCTGAACACTTTTAACTTTTGTTTCACAGAAAAAAATTAGATACACAGTCCTTATAAGGGGGGCGTTTTCCCCCACTCTACCCTTCTATTTTTTTCCCCATCCCAGACATCCTCAGTTATGACTGATTGACACATAAACAGTGGCAGTCTGAAGTATTACACCAGCCAACATTCTTCACCCGTCACCTCAACCAGATCACAACAAACACCCGCATCATCGCCCACAAACCCGAGCGGCGGCGGTCGGTGGGTCACTTACAGAGTGTGCGTGTCGGTCGGTAGGTCTGACGCCGCTGGGGCCTGATCCAGCCCGATGCTGGAACAATTAACCACGCACGAGTTTTGCGGTCCCACCGCCGAGCAAGAGCAGTTACCCGGACACGGGCTGCAGGCTCTCCCGTCTGCCGCGACGCCCGAGCGCGCCTCCAGGCAGCAGAGCGCAAAGAGCAGACTGGAAAATAATCCAAACTTTGGGAGGCAGACGCCATGTTTTCGCTTAAACACAATCTGTCCATTTCTACAAGGCATAGCTCACTCGCATCCCATCGCCCCTTCTGTCGGTGAAGTTTTCCTCGGGGCGCGTTGAGGAAAGTTCACTCTTTTCCCAGTTTTTCCATAAGAGAAACGGCGTAGAAAGCGTCGCAAATCGCGTTTCCCCCCCGAGTTCGCTGACGTCCCCCCTCTATTCCTCCGTTAACGGAACTGGATTCACTTCTTCTCCAGAGGAGGGGAAAAACTCTGGATTCTGCTCTGCCAGAAGTTCCTGAAGAACTTCCTCTCGTGCTCCCATCCTGCAGTGCCGCTGCTCTCCACTGGATGCACAACACAAGCTACTGATTATTAGGCATGCTATACCCAATCCATTACCACAGCTAGATGTTTTAGACTTGATCTTTGACTTGATTTAGTTATGGCACAACTTTTCTACTATGCGGCCCATTTTATTGTCCATATGCATAGAGACCACGCGCACACATAAATGCATTGGATGATGTAAAGGCAAGTGGCGTGATAAAGAAACATCATCCAAATATTGTTCACCAGGTGCAGAACTTTACAATTGTGACATGAAAACCTGGTAATTTATTTAAAAAAAATATTGCAGTTGTTTCCGTTTTCAAGCAATATTATTTTGAATTGGTGATGTCTTCAATAGCATTGTCCATTAATCTTATGTAATATTTTATTCTTTGCAATAATGACAGTTTCTTAATGACATCATCGTCCAGGAAGGGGCATAATATTTGGTGACAAAACAACATCCTAAAACATAATTTTATAATCATTTTATTTTTTTACAAAATGTAGCTAATTTTAGAGCTGCCAAAGCTAGTGTACACCAAATATGTTTAACATTTTTTTTTTATTTTTTTTTTTTATACTGCACATTCAATAAATCTACCATTTTGTTCTGCTACTAAAGACTGGTTAGAAATCAAGATATTAATTCCAGTTCTTTTTTTCTTTTTTTTTTTTAATTATACATTGGTGATTTTTCTTTTTTATCTGTCAACTTAATTAAAAGTAAATATTTTCCAAATAAGTTTGTTTTAGTATGTATGACAATGTAAAAGCCAATTATTCATTTTTGGGAATTTTTGATTTAGTTCTCTTAAGTTAATATTTTAAGACTTTTTGACACATTTAATATTTTCGTCACACAGTATAAATGGATTTAAATACATAAAGATATACAACATCTAGCATCAAAAAGTTTGAAAACCCTAAAACCTTCTGTCTGATTAAATTACAGGAATCAGTATGATAATATCAACATTTCAAATGATTGTCAGAACGAATATGATGTCCTCTTAGAACAATGCTTTATCTCCATATTTCTATTCTGTTCATTTTCTTGCTGCTGTATAAATAATCAAGTCATAATTAATAGCTACAGCTTAAGAATCTGAGTTTGACCAGAGCATTTCTGAGAGTCTGATATTCCCTTTTATAGGAATACACTTTAAAATTACAACACAAGCATATTCATTTTTTTAAAGAAGGTTCAGAAGGTAATGATCCTGAAATAACTCTCTGCAGACATAAATAAACTATAGCCTTTATTTCTTATCTTTTCCTTAGGGAAATTTTCCAAATATGGCTAATTCATCATTCATGCACATTGTTTTGCACTAACCAGAGCAAATTCGATCTCTGGCAGAATGTGGATGAATTATTCAGGTCTTGATGGGGTATGTTGTGTGTTCAAACTCTAGGGGGAACCGCAGAAGAAGTCTCAGATCTTCACATCATCTGAATTAGTGCTGGGCTGAAACAAAACCCAAGGATGCAACTAAATATACAAGTCATTGAAAAACACACATGGCTGCTTACACACTAAATTTTTAGGAGTGACAACCTTATTTAAATAAGCTGCAGAAGTGAATTATCGTTTCGTGTGTGTACGGCACAGAACTCACTCTCGAAACGGCAATAATGATTGACACTGTCAGAGTTGGGTAGTAACTGATTACATGTAGTCTGGATTAGCTACGTAATCAGATTCCAAAAATTAAGTATTTGTAATTAGATTAAATTACATTTTAAAATACTTGTAATCAGACTACAGTTATTGATTACATGATTACATATTATTTGCACAATAGCAATAATGTATTCATGATTTATTGATTCTAACTTTTTTTTTTTCCTTTCTAAAATAGCCTACAAAAATGACCGTGAATTTAACGGTAAAAGACTGTAAAAATGCTACAGTAAAAACCTGTTAAATGGTTAACGGTAAATTCCCCTACTATATACGGTGAAAAACTGTATTGGACATACATTTTACGGTAGTATACCGTTTTTGGAAATGAAAAAGACCGTATAATTTACAGTGAATTGACATTCCCAGAATTCCCTGCGTTACATTTCAAATTTGATGTTTTTTTTGTTGAAATAACTATGTTTCTTCTTAGTTTTTTCTTATCAGTTTTGTATATTAGGGTTTTATGTTACACCTAATGTTGTTAAATTAATGTTTATTGCATTATACCAGTTTCATGTGTGTTACCATGATGGTGTTTGGTGTTTGTGTGAATGACACTGTCCACCTTCTATATATGTTATTATTTAAAAGCTGCTTGTGATGGGCTTTGGTTCATCATGTGACTTTCTCATCACCACCTGTATTTGGTGGTTATCAGTGTATTACAAAGGTGCAAAACAGATTTCAGTACTTCAATAGGTTGGTATATTAACATTATATCAGTTAATGAAAATACGGTATTTAACTGTAAATTTAAGTTAAAACCGTAAAACCTAAAACATTGCTACCGTATTTTTGACGGTAAAATTCCGGCAACCACAGCTGCCATTTTTTTACTGTAAATTTGATGGAATTTTTTTTACAGTGTACATTCAGAAGGTCTTCCAGTTTTGTAAACATTTACACAGAGATCAGTCATTAGTCTGTGGCAAAGCATTTGACCACTGGATTTACAAAAATCCTTTCAGGTTTCAACATTGCATCAGCTACTGATAAACACATTCATTTTTATTTGAATTATCAATAAAAGTCGGTCACTGAACGGTTACCCAACTCTGAACAACATTACAACCATAGCAATGTACTTGCTGCTATTTTTGACCGAAGTAATATTACCGCGACCAAAGAATCGTTATGTTCAGCGATGTTAACTAAACCACCGTCCTGTTTTATGGTTGGAAGTCTGCTTTGCAGAGCGCGTATATGTCCATGTATTATAAGCGACACTTATTAAGCATCTTTGGACATGTTGTTTGGGCTCGGCTCATAAAGCAATCCATTTTATGGAGGTAGCTTTATAGGCTTATTCTCATTTGCCGTTTTTTATGTCAAAATCTGGCAACACTGAGTCAAGAGGTGATTTCTTGCACCACAACTCTGACATGCGTTTAAATACGTCATTAACTACCAGTGCTGGGTAGATTACTTACAAATTATAGTCCATAACTGATTACAAATTAGGCCCTATATAATGAAAAGTGTAGTCATTAATGTTATCTAGATAACTCATTTTAGCTAATGTATTCTGACTACGTTTGGATTACTTTTAGATTACTTATGACCATTGACCAGCATCAGAGAACATGCAAATGTGTTGTTAAATGATTGAAATATTAACTTTAAATATCAGGGGGACTTCAAGTAAATATTTTATGTCAAATGGGTTTGACTGAAAAAAAAAAGTTTGTGAATCCCTGCATCACATGAACAATCATTCACATCTCCATACTCACTATGACACACAGCAGAATTCTTTAGAAAGTAAAAAAAAAATAAAAATTAGGAATAATTTACTGCCATTTTTTGAATAGCTGTAATCATGTAATCCATAAAGAGTATAGCTTTAATCTGATTATTGGTATTTTAAAACCTAATGTAGTCTAGTTACATGTACCAAATATTTTTAATCTGATTACATAATCCAGATTACATGTAATCAGTTACCAGTGTTGCCAAGTTAGCGGTTTTCCCATGGAATTGGGCTACTTTAACACTGTTGCCGCTTTTGCTTCGGAGGGAATTTGCTTGCAGTTGTCACTCCCTTAAATTACTGAACTGTGTTTGTACAGAACAGGATTGAGCACTAAAAGGTGAACTGACAACTGAATTTACAGCCCCGACTGGAGTCAAATCTGTGCTTTTCTACATCAAACTGGAAAAAAGAAAGTCATCTGAGGAGATGAGAGGGAGTAAATCTCAACTAAGAAAAATCTTACCACCCAACTTATCTGTCCTCTCAGAGTTTTTGTCCCCCAGCATGCACTGCGTTTCAGGAGTTAAAGTGCCCGTTTGCACCAGGTCCAGCTGCGAGTCAGTCATCCCAGTGGATGTCATTAAAACACCACAGACGTCTGTGATCCACCCCCAAGATAAAAGAGCAAAATAAACCGAGAGACAGAGCTATCGTGCCTCTGTTGCTCAGAACAGAGAGGTGTGATGAAAGGAGGAAGAGAAAACGGGAGAAAAGAGAGCTGTGGAGAAGAACACAGCGAGAGACGGCAGCTCACTGTAACTGGAGTTTGGTTCATTTCAGGCAAACACACAGAAGAGTTACACAGGTTTAGTTGATCCAGACTCACCTGTGCTGTTATTTTCAGAGTTCACTGTGTTTGCTTACAAATTGTTCATGTAGAAAACGACTAGTTTCTGAATCACATGTGGCCACAATGTGAGGTTTACATGGTTGCTAAGGTACTGAGTGGTTTGCAGCACTTTGCTATGTGGTTGCTGGGATGTTCCGGGTAGTTGCTAGGACACTGCTACGGTTTTCAGGGTAGTTGCTAGGCTTGGGAGTTGCTAAGGTGTTGTGGGTAGTTGCTAGGACATTGCAATGTGGTTACTAGGGTGTTGTGGTTAGGGTGTCCTTGGAAGTTGCTATAGGACATTACTATGTGGTTAAAGGAAAATTCTGGGTAGTTGCTAGGGTGTTGGGCTAAAGTGCTCTGAATGATTTGTAACACGTTTCTATGTGGTTGCAAGGGTGTTCTGGGTAGTTGCTAGAGCATCACTAAGGTGTTCTGGTAGTTGTTAGGGTGTTGCTATGAGGTCACTAGGGTGTTCGGTTGCTAGGGTATTGCTATGTGGTTACTAGGGTGCTGCTAAGGTTTTCTAAATAATTGCCAAGTTAAAAGTCTCCATTCTAGGGTCTACATGAACAAGAGTAAATGTAAATCAGTGTCCCTCCTTTAGTGTTTTTTTTTTTACCATTCAAACCGTAACTCTTGACTGCTTATAAACACAACACACACACACACACACACACACACACACACAGATCTCCTCAACATGACACGACTTTCTCCGTGGGAATGTCACACGAGTGAGTGTCTGAGG